CGAAAGAGATTTCATAGTTATCTCGAGAATTAAAACCCCAAACATGTTTCAAATCCTAACTGGAATTGGAAAAGGATGTTGAACGTAATACTCTATATACAACACAAGTGATTGTCTAACAAATTGTGTGATTTCACTAATTATTATTCATCATAAAGGAGAAGAGAATCAACGATGGCATGGTGAGTGCATCGGTGATTTATTCCTTTCTTGTGGTTTCTATGGCTATTTAATTTTCTAATTAATTCCATATATTTGTTTGTTTTGTTGCATGGTAGGTCAAGGAATCAAAAATTGTACGTTGTCATCATGCACATACTCATCGTGTCGTCGAGTCTTGCAGCGTTTTTGTTCATAAGACTCAACGAAATCCCTTTCAGTCTAATCCAAAAGCTTGTAGGATTTATGTGGTTGTTCTACTACTTTAATGCCGTTTGTGTTGGACCCCAAGCACCTGAAGAATCGGGTCCCTTCATGGTCGCATGCATGAGTCATGTCTTTGGGATCGCTCTAGTTGTTTTTCTCCTCTATGTTATTTCTCCTATGCTCGAAATAAACAAGAGAACCCATCAAAAACAAAACCGGTAATAAATACCCAGCGATTTGATCACCAATCATCCCAAGGTCTCCAGTCAGCAATGATAGAGTAGTTATGAGATCTAATCCAAGTTTGAGTTCCAAGGAAAGGTATTTCCATGTCATGATCACCACTCTTCATCCGCTTAAAGTTTACAAATGTAAGAATCTTGCAGTACTTTTCTTTCAGAAGGCAGAGGTTAAACTCTGACCTGAAGATAGGAGGATATGGTATGGTACGCTGCTTTTAATGTCATGACTCATGAGTGTAAGGTATTTCCCGATAACAACGCACGTACCCACTCCCCTATACTATCCTGGAATCAAAGATGCTAAGAAAAATATCTCAAATTAAACTTTTATTCATATAACATACCTTACTGATTTGAAGAGCCCTGCGCACGCTCGCTCTCATCATTGGCCCAGTAGGTTAGGGTAGTTAACAAATGTGGATACTCCTGCAGAAACGCAACCTTGTCAAATATAAATGGTCTCAAACGGTTTAAGAGTTGAGAGAGAGCAAGATGGATTTACTTACGTAGCAACTATCGAGAGAAGTTTTATCACAATTTGGTTTCAAGATAAATGCTTTTGTGGTTTCAAGATAAATGCCATTGTAAACCTCACGCTTCACAGTCAAAGGCCCTGCTTTTATTTTGGTTGAAACAAAGTCACTGAAGCAGAGAAACAGAAGAATAGATTTTTAAAAGAAGAAATACCATTCTCTCATAAAGAAGAGCAGAGATAGAAGAAGGCCACTTAACCAAAGAAGCAAAGGGTCTTGTTCTGGATTTCTCTCAGATTTGATAAGGTGGTAAAACAATTGCACTTCCTCTTCCTCACCAACACTAATGTACCTTTTTCATTCACAAAGAATCATAAAATACTTTTTAACACAATCTCAAAACATGGTTGAATCACAGGAAGAGAAAACACAAAACCGGAAGAAAGTTGACAATCTGCATGCAAACTCG